TGAAGTGATCCTTGAATATTGATGAGGGAGACATCCTTGGATTCAAGAGCTCTAATGTGGAAAATGGTAAATTGGCAGGGTAAAAGTTCCATATATTTAACTTTGCCTGAAGCACTTAAGTAATTCACAGCCAGAGCCTGGAAAGTGTCTAAGATGTCTACTAAAACCCACCTTGGCAGTGGGTTCTCCTCATTTACTGTTAAAAGAACATCTTTAATGCTCCCACTAATCCCAAACCTGGCAGCAGGTATCCTTCAGAAGAGTCCAGGTCCCAGGAAGCTACTTTCCAACTGTATTAAAGCTCGTCCACCTGAAAGCTTATTAGAAAACAGTGCTAAACCCACAGCAGCAGTTTAGCTGAGCTGCACACTAGGAATTCATTAAATAGGCTGCAGTATCCTGTGCTAGCGCTAGTTTGCAAATAGTCACATCCACAGCAACACAATCCCAGACTAACTAGGACATGGATGTTATTGACAAAGGCTAAGAGATTATCATTCCTTTGGCAAGAGATAGGACGAGGGGAATGGGAAGCAGGAGCCTCGCACTGTGTTACCCACTTCCATACCTGGCTTGCCAAGTGGCAATTCATCTGTTCAGCACCCACTCACAGCATGCACAAAGAAACAGGCCAGGGAATTTAGTCTGAAAATTTGGGAACAAAAAATGTTTCACCATAGTGTCTCAGCTGCAGTGCTACAAGTAAGAGCTGTGACATTTCCTCTGGGTTTTTTTGTTTGGGGGTAGTTTTAGGGGTTTTATTTTGGGGTGGGGGTGGTATGTTTTTAAACATTGCTGCACCACGTGAGCGCTTTAAATAGTTTCAGTGCAAAATCTATTAATTTAATATTTTGTTAATATATTATTAATTTACATTGCAGACTAATCTTACTGCCACCACACAAAACCAGCGGAGGGGTGCTCATCTCTTAGCTGAGATTGGATCCTGACTGTGTGGACAGGCCTACTTACACACTAATATCAAATAAAGATGCACTTTTAAACGTTAACAGGCATGGCATATAAATTGCCGTACCATGAAAAGGGATCTCTATTCTGAGCCCATTACTTGAAGAAATCTTCCAAGCACACTGCTAAGTCTATCCTCTCTTTCCTCATGCTATTGAGGAAGCAGATTGATGAAAACAGATATACGGCCAGTCTTATGCTTATTTTTAGTGTGGAATAAGCACTTTGAGTACAGGAAGAAGTCCAATAGCTGGATATCATAAAGTGGAAAAAATACTAGGAAAAGAAGTGAGCAAATTGCAGTATGTTTCAAGCATGCTTGATAACTAAATTCAAAATATTATTAAAACTATAATTGATGCACTTTGTGGTAATTACACAAAGTGTTCTTATTTCCTTCCTGCTACAGTCAGAGCATGAATAAACAATCTGCTTTCAATTGCTCTCAGTCATGAAATTAAAAAAAGCTGAAGAATATGCAAGTCAAATAAGAAATTTTAAAAAGGACTGACATTTATGTGTTGAAAAATTTTACTTGTATGTTTCAAAGGCTTATGGAAAAGCTAACTACTCAAGCACAGCACTATTCAGAGATAACAAATATAATCAACATCTCCCTTGCTCTGATGGAAATGGTGAATTGGCTTTCATGTAGCCAGTGAAAGAAAAAAAAACAGCAAAGAGTTAACTATTTAAACAGTTAAGTTATTGCTAAGATTTGCATGCATTTCCTTTGTAAAAGATGAACCAGAACTAGAAAAAAACACAATTATTGTCTTCCTACAGTTTTCACTGTTTCATACAGCATATACTCACTCTGTACAAATCTTACATGAAATTAAGATTCCTCGATTCCACCATTATGAAGACAAATTTCAGTCTAAGTTTATGTGGTTTTAATAGCCATTAAGTTTTACTGCCTGGTTTGTGGATGCTAGCAAGAAAGGAGTTACTTTATGCTGTATTTTGTTTCTGATTACAAAAGTCAAGTTCTCTAAAAACTCCAGAACATTACCTACCTGAAAGCTAACTTCATTAAGACATCTTAAAAAAAAGAAAACCCCAAAACCAGAAAATTGGACTTAGATGGAGGATAACTACTTTTCCAAGAGATGAGCTTTCTTACCCTTTAAAAAAATCCTTATCCTATGAGAGAGATGTGGCAAAGAACAGATTTTTCTGCCAAAGTACCATATTCTTTAGCTTCCTACCACTCTCAAGCACCATCACTCTTATAATAGCTAGTATATGAAATGAAAGCAAGCATGTCAGTTAAGCAACTCTGTGTGTGTATCTGTACACATCTAAATCTAAGGAAACACAAAACATTTAGAAATTACAGCAACACCTATAATTTTAAAGGCACAATAGGAGAAACATAATAAATCTGTCCAGCCATCCAGTCAGGAGTTAAAATTGATGATTTAACACCAATATTCCTGAAGGCTAACATTACAGGCATCCTGGAACAGAAACCCACATCTAAGAACAAGCATTAACGTCAGTTATTTTACTTTGGATCAGAAAACACATGCTATTGAAGTCCCAACTTGCAAGCTTAACTTTGCACCAATATGCCCCTGTCTTGCTAAGACAAAACACTAGGTAGAATCCCTTCTGTTACTCAGGCTATTCCCAGGGACCCTGATAAAAGGAAGGAAGTACTTGACAGATAGAATTCTGTCTTTTCTCCTGCATGAAACACGTGCCTTCTAAATTCAGCTCAAACTGAACGGTTTCAAAATGACAAACCCAAAGGTTTCCACAGACCAGGCAGCACAGGCAGCCCCTGCACAGCTTTTATAGGATTCTCACCAACACGGCTTGACAAGGTTCCAGTGGTAAGACCTCCCAGACTCTGCCTCAAGCTTTTGGTCTCCTCCTCAGATTATCAAAAGATAGCCAGTTGTGATGGTGGTTTTTCTGCTGGAAGAAAACTTCATGCCGGACTGAGACCACCAACTCATTTCACGTAGGTCAGAAAATGAGATGGTAATAGTTTTTCACAGTTGCCAACTTAAACTGTATTTGAGCTACAGACCTAGATGTGAAAGGCTCTGTAATAAATTACCAATCTCCTGAGCCATCCAGTTAACAACATGCACGGTTTTCTTTTTAAACTCAATTACGCTTAAGTTCTTAAGTTTTCTGAAACTGTAGAAAGTAAAGCATCAGAAAAATTTATTCTTGATGACAGGTCATTTGTTTTCTGTATGCCTCTTAAAAATACACTGAAGAGTACTATTGCAGGCAGAACATTAGAGTAAGACATTACATTTTGGTTTAAAACAAAGTCTAAGTAGTAACATGCACTATCTATATTTCTACATTATGTTTTGCTCCACTATTTCATGAGTCATGACAAAGCCACCACAATCTTTTTGACTTTTTCCCTCAGTGCTGTGGCTTTTGTTCCACTTCTTAAACCAGGAGCAAATTACAAACCAGATCCATACAATTATTTTAATAAAACAAAACTTCATTGTATTTCAGTTCTGAAAATGTTATTTATCAAAGACAAATCTTTTCCCATCAGTTTAAACAGGGACTGGCATTCTGTAAAAGCATTTATTGGGCATGAAAATAGAAGATAAATAACTAATCATTGACTACATTTCCAGGAACACTATTAAAGCTATTTCAAAGACAAAAAGTGACTCTGAAGAGTAATAAGGAAGCCAGACTTATTGCACCAAGCATAGAATAGCACTGGTAATACTGACTCATGGGAATGAAAGGTCAAACTAATGATACTCTCATGCACTAATGAAATTTCAGTAATTAGAAGCATCATAAATAGATAGTATCATACTTTGATAGCATTTTTTTCAATTTACTTCTAAGAATAAGAGCTACAGACAACTGGGTCAGGAAAACTACCCCATTTTAAGACAACAGACAGAACCAGCCAAGCCAGCTATGGGCATATTGCAAAGGCAGATACATAAGAATTGGTGAGATTCACCAATTCAAAACATTTAATATAATTTGCTGGTTAAGAAACTAACTCAGGTTCAAAATGTTTTGCTTATACTGTAGTTTGGATAAACATTAGTTTATTTGCAGAAGTCTTCAAAAGTTGGTATGGCTGTATTTCTAATAGATTATAAATATTAGGAGAAGATAATGGCCTTCAAAAGTTACCTTCGTAAGTAAAACTGGTAATTTGGGGGAGATTTTTACTTTTTCAGCAGTTCTTACAGCCAATCATCCTCTCCCCCACCTACACACATGCCGTATTTAAATGAACACTTTTTAAAATAGTTTATTTAGAAAATCAAAAAAGGAAAACAGCCATCTGATATACTTTGCTGTCATAAGCATATCAGATCATAGCCAGCTTTTAAAATTCACTCTACTAATCAAGGCTGTCTGACTGCAGTATAAAAATATGTATTTATTAGTACATGCCCTTAGCACAAAGGTTTTTGTTGCCCAGCGATTTTTCATAAAAAACAATCCTTGACCTCAATCGTCATCCCAGTGCTAAAACCCATTGCGGATCCACTTACCAAATCCCTGTGTAACACCCAGTTAGCATGCAGGTAGTGAATACCATCTAGGATCTGATATAACAGTGACTTCACCATTCCCCGAGGTAACTGAACTGGTTTCTTGTTTGCTTTAGAAGCCCTGTGAAACTTGATTATATGCTGTAAAGGGGAAAAAGAAATCAAAATAAAAAAGTGTAATGTTTTGATCTACAGCATTACACAGAAAGATTGCCAGCAATTCCTTACACAGACTTCTTAGGTTTTTTTCAACCTTTCATCATTGATTTTCAAAACTAGAAACATGTACCTTAAGTACTAGAAAATTAATAATATACGAGGTAAAGTGATCACTGTCCCAAGGAAATCTCTCAAAAATGAAATCAGTTGTTGCTGTGGTTTAACCCTGGCAGGCAGCTAAGCCCCACACAACTGCTCGCTCACTTTCCCACAGTGGGATGAGGAATACAAAACCAATACAACTGTCAAAGCAAATTTCTCTTGCAGATCACTGATCTTTAACAGTTTGGAGGTTTTAGGGGTATTTTTGTTTGGCAGTTCTTTTTGTTAAGATAGGCTGATACCTTGTATATCACAGCACAGAATTAAAAGTGCATCACCTAACTCCTATATTATTTTACTTTTAGGTTTTCTCCTACAGTAATAATGACACTGTAATATTCAAAACTTAATGCCAGACAGAAATTCTTGCAAACTGTGTTAGGAGTTCTAAACGTTTAAATTAAAAGCCCAGATTTATTCCTCCTTTATTTACTATACCCTTAAAGCACAGTACTCTCAAAACAGAAGCTGTTGACAGAGCAAAGTTGTAAATCTGTCCATCTGAAAGTCAGCTACCAAGCCAGACACAGAAAAAACCTTTAACAATTGTAAGTGTATACACAGGCAATGACATCTAGCAACAATGAGGAGTCCAAAAGGATATGTTGTCTTAGCATTTGAGTGCCAGGTGCTACTAACTTCAGTAGCATAAGGTGTGCCACAGTCATGGTAACCATTTCCATGTTTGTCTCCTTTTGAGAGAGAGGTAATTTCTAGAACAAACTTTTTCATGCATTCACAGTTCTTTTCTGTAATGGCTCACACTTGTGTGATCACCAAAACAGCCCTGATCTTGTCCATCCAAAACCCGGCACCAAACTTCTATCACATGTTCTTCCTACGTTCCTGAGCGTTCCTATTCCAGGTGCCAATTAGGCACCCAACTACTCAAACCCATTTGGGAAATTGCCTTTCCTCTCTTGCTGCAGCCCAACTCCATAGAGCTTGCCCTCCCTTGGCTTCAGGCATTGAGCTTGGCTTTCCTGGGAGGA